TCTCTGGACAAGGGATAGGTGAAACATGTAAAGCCCATTATTCCCCTTACTTTAGTTTTTTTGCCTGCTGCTTCTTCCCCCTTACCCAGCTGAAAGATGCTTGTATAGCCTCCTTTAAAGCAATACACATTTTATTAGAGAAGGGAGGAGGATTGCTACAGATATGAGTGAAATACAGACTGGCAGAGCTGATAAAGGGGTTAGCTCTGCAGCAGCTAACATTTCAACTCTCTTTCTTTAGGGCTGAGCTCTCCACCGTCACAGCTATTGCACCGTTACTGCCAGCTGAAGACCCTTATTTTACCCCAGACCAACCTCACATTCCAGACTGGGGCTTTCCTAAATCACAACTGACCATCTTCCTCCCAGTGAGTATTCAGAGTCTCAGCCATTCTTCCCTGAATGTACCTCAGAAACGGGTTTGCTATTTGCCAATTTGTACAGGGCTTTGGGTGCTGAAAATGAAAATTCAGAACTAGAGCCTACAGCCATTCCAAGGAAGCATCAGACTTTGACTCACTCGGGGCATTATCTGACCTATGGCCAGATACAACAATTCCAATTTAATGGGACTTGTCCATTGTGAGTGAGCCTGCTAGCGTTGACTTATGAATATGTATGCAATGTTTATACAGAGTTCCTTATTTCTGGAGTTTACTGCTGCCTAGTGCAATCTTTTCCTTGTTACTTCTGCCCTCCTTGGGCAGAGAGGCTTTGCATTTTCTCCTCTAAAACATGATGGAATTTATTAGGGGTCTGAGGGAAGGAGAGTGGATTCCTATAGCTGAGACGGGCAGATTAGTTTGTCAACATTTATTATTGGTTTAATTTTCCTTATGTAGTGGCAGTTGAGTAAAAGTTGTAACAGTTTTGGGGAAAAAATGTTTTGTTTTATTTAACTAGCTACAGATAAAGAGATAAATGTATAAAAATGACCTAACTAAACTGAAGGGAACTATAATGAAAATAATGAATTCAAAACCAGGTAAATAAATAGACAATGGTAGATAGAGCACCATCACCACCATTAAAAGTCTCCCAATAATGATATAGATTTCCTAACTTCTAGCTGAAGTTAGGAAGTTTCCAGGGGTTTTAATAGATCAAATAATGTGCTTCCAATAACTTATACCATGGAAACTTTAGTAAGGACATATAGCTTATACCTATATATAGGGGGGAAAGAGGTTAAAAATCAATAAATATTAGGTAAATGTAAAAGTTTTCAGAGTAATACGATAAGGAACCTTCAGTAATAGTAAATCTAATAAAGAATGAATCAAAAAGTTGTGTGAATGTGTGTATAACACTTA